GACCAGAAAATCCCAGATAGGTTAATTAAGATTATACTTCTGAGAGGGGTTGAAACTGCAATTAAATCAGGTATTAAATCTAAGCTTGGTATCAGGGGCTTTTAGCACAATTAACACCATTTTGAGCCTGTGGTTTTCACTTTAACACCTTGTTCTACCTCGACTTTTATAATATCTGCACACACTGTTTTGACAAAAATAGAAATATATGAGGGAAGTGTACTATAGAGAGGTAAAAGGCAGACAAGGAACTGAGGGAAATATTTGTAAGTTTTATAGTAAGATTAATTTCCTTAATTTATAAAAAGCTCTTTAAATCAACAAAAAAAGACAACCCAATTTAAAATGAACAAAGGACATGAAAAGGCATCTTATAGAAAAAGAAGAAAAGGTTTGCAAATATTTAAAAATATGCTCAATTGTACTTATAATAAAAGAAATCCATTTTAAAACAACAAAATACATTTTTACATACTTAGCTGATAAAGATTTTAAAAATTAGTTGCTAATACACAGGGTTTCCAAGAATATAATGAAACAAGAACACACATACACTGGGACAAGCTACTCGAAAACCACTTTGACATTTTCTGTAAAGTGCATAAAAACACATGTACAGGATAGATCAGAATAGCACTGTTTATAATTACAAGTAATAATAAACAACCTCGATGACCTTCAACCTAGGATTGTCTAAATTAGTTATGGTACTTGTAACCAGTGAGATACTAAGCAGCAGTCAGAAAAAATGAGAAAGCTCTCCCTGTATTGACATGAAAGTTGGCCAAAATAAGGAAAAAGAAAAATGTGAGTCCAAGTTTATTGTATTTTCCTTTTTGGATAAAAAAAGACAAGAGGAAGACAATATCTTCATATCTGACTTTATGTGCTGTAAAACTCTGGAAAGATACACAAGAAATTCATATACATGGTTTCTTGTTTGGCAGTATCAGCAGTGAGAACTGAACATAGGTGAGCCAGGCTTTTCATCGTGTATTTTTTCACACTACTTACATTTCAAACCACGTGACTATGTTACCTATTAAAAAATGCAATAACATAGGAATAGACAAATAAATAAAAATGAAGTAGATCATATGTGCTGATTTGGAAAGATTTCCAAGCTATAGTAAATGGAAATGCCAAATGTTCTTTAGGCCTGGTGGAAGGAAGGTGGGTGGAAAGAAGTTTCCATCAGGTGGGATTGCCAAGGGCAGTCGGAGGATTCTTGGAGGAGAGGCCCCTTCTGGAAGAGGTGGTTTGAAACGACTCCTGCCAGCTCCCTACCTTCTCCTGACTGTTGGTAAGGGAGTGGGAGAGGGTGGGAAGAGTAGGGGATTGCAAATGGGCCCCTCTCTGGGCCAATTTGGCCCTGGGAGTGTTGAGGGTTTGTGACTTCCTGCTCTCCTGGTTCTGCCTTCCATAAGCAAAAGTGAAGATGCACAATTTACATAAAAACTAAAACAAGGCCCAGCTGCCTAGTAGCTAAAGAACCCCCAGGTCCCCTTCGACTGACACCCCCTCCCTCAAAGCGTTGCTAAGAGGGTTAAATGAAACAAGCTTGGACAAGTGCTCAGCACTCCAAGGAAAGGTCACAATTGTTATTCTAATCATGGGTCAAACCAGTTATTGGAAACAAAATACTAATAAAGGTTTTGAATGGGCACATTTTCATTGATTTTAACACATCAAATGGCATTTGATAAATGATGGGAAAGTATTAGACCAATATCTTATTGATTAACTCACCAATGTTCTCAGTTAATTTGAAGTTCTGAAAAGAATTATGATTGGTCATAGCATGACTGGTAGTTAAAGTCCTCCTGCCCTTCCTTCCACAAAGTACGCAGAAAATTGGGGGGAAATTGGGCCCTCCCCGACTCACACTCAAGACAAGCATTCTTCACTCCACAAACACTTGTTTATTCCTCATCTGCCATGTGCTAGGCACTGGGGATATGGTGGTAAACAAAACAAGAAATGGCCCCTAATCTCAGGGAGAGAGGCAGTAAATAAACAGATTTTGCCTAATCTGGGAAGTGACAAGCATTCCCTAGGTCTAGTGAAAACAACCTCTATGGGTGGGACTGCCAAGGGCATCCCAGGAATCCTTGGAGAGGCAGCCCCCTCAGGAAGAGGTGGTCTGGAGTGACCCCTGCCAGCTCTCTATCTCCTCTTGACTGTTGGTAAGGGGGCATGGGGGAATGGGGAGGACAGGTGATTGCAAATGGCCCCTTTCTGGGCCAGAGCAATTTGATCCTTTTGGCCCTGGGAGACATGAGATTTTGTGACCTCCTGCTCTTCTGGAGCTTCCTTTTGGGAACAAAACTGGAGAAGATGCACAATTTACATAAAAACTAAAGCAAGGCCCTGTGCTGCCTGCTAGCTGAAGGAGTTGCAGGTCCCTTTCCTCCTGGGTATCCATCCAGGTGAAACAAATCTGATGCACTATCTACTTTCCACAATAAGCACATGTAGTTGAGCCAGTTATGCAAGTCACAGGGTATTGCTCAAAGGGAAAGGAAGGAGTGGGCCCTGAAGAGAAGCTGAGACAGCAACCAGGTGATGCCATTTGCCTGCTTAAGAAAGGCCTTCACATCTCGTGAGAAGAAGAGAGGGCTGAGCTGGGCAGGCCTGGGCCTGAGAAGCTACCTGGCTTCTGGAAGGCAGCGAGGAGCCCAGGTAGTCAGATACTCCAGAGAACTGCAGGTAAATGCCTGGGGATCCCTGTTGCGCTTGCTCTTAGCTGACTGATTTATCTTAGACCCAAGCTTCTTGAAAGACCCACACCTTCACTTTTTAGTGTGGTCTCCATAAAGTTTCTTGCAACCTAGGAAGACTGGTTTATGGCTGATGAGTTTTCTCAGGGTTAAGAGTCACCTAAGGGATTCCACAGAGAGTTATGTAAGTTCCAAAGTGTAGACACCCAGGGAGCTGAGAAAATGGAACATCCAGTATGTGATTTGTTCGTATATGTGGAGAGTTAAGGGGCCCTGGGACAGAACTTTTTTTTTTTTTAGTAGCAATTTTTTTTTTAATTAATTTTTTTTATGGTGACATTGGTTAATGAAATCAAGTTTCAGCTGCAAACTTTAACAGTAAAGCCTGTATATATTTGCACTATGTATTCACCTCCCATAGTTAGATTTCTTTCTGTCACCACATATTTGACCCCTGTACCCCGTCTACCTCCCGCCTCCTCACCACACTAGAACTTTTGAAATTGGGGCTCTGCTGCCAATTCTACAACAGGTGGTCCTCCTTGGCTAGAAGGCGTGGAGGCAACACTGGCTGAGTTGGTGATTGGCAATCACTTTCTTTCATCCACTGTCTCTCACTTTTTTCCCCTAGTACCCACCCTCCTTTATTCTACACTCACAGATCTGAAACCAAAGAGCATATTGAAGCTGTGTTTTGTTGAGGACACATGAAAAGCCAAATACTTACTAGGAGCTTAATCTACAAACCCATGCCATAGCCACTACCTTGGAACAAATACATGCTATGTGTCAGGGACTCTGCTAAGAGCTTTATGTTTATTATCACCTTTAATTTTCACAATGACCCTGAGACTCAAGGGATGAACTTGACAGTCAAAGAAGGTGAGTGTTCAGGGGTCCCACTGTTAGGAAGCAGTGAAAACTGGGTTCAAAACTTAGCGTGGCCAACTCTGAAACTTTTTAAAAGACTCTGTTTTCTGGGGTGGGAGGTGAAAAAGGGGAAGGGATTAAGAAGTACAAATTTGTAAAGATGTGAAGTATATCATAAGGAATATAGTTAATAATATTGTAATAACTGTATGGTATTAGATGAGTACTAGATGTACTGGGGGTGATCACACTGTAAGTTATATAAATGTTTAATCACCATGTCGTACACCTGAAACTAACATAATATTGTATGCCAACTGTAATTGAAAAATTGCAAATTAATTTTTAAAAAAAGATTCTATGTTCCCTCTCCATTGGTTTCTTCTATTTCTATTACTCTCTAAAGTAGGTCTTAAAATGTGGTCTTAGACTAGCAGCACTAGTGGCACCTGGGAACCTACTAAAAATTAAATTCTTGGGCCCTACCCCAGACACATTAAATCAGAAATTCGAGAGTCGCGCCCAACAATCTGTGTTTTAATAAGCCCTCCAGGTGAATCTGACACACACTAGAGTTTGAGAACCCCTGCTCTAGAGGTTCCTAACTTTGTAAGGGTCTTGAAGCAGAGTCTCACTGTCCCTATGCCTGCCATCTGGCCTCCCTCCATGTCCTGCTTGCTTTCAGCAGATTCATGCTCCTAGAAGGTACTTTTCTTGAGTAAGCCTGCTGCTTAGAGGCCCTCGGGGAAGCAAGTGAGAGTCAGGCTCTCAAGCTGCCCTTCCATGCTGACTTTAGCACACTGTTGAGGAAAGAGCTTTGGAGCCAGGCGGGCCTAGGTTTGAATCCCAGCTTAAGTCACTTACCAATTGTTATTAGATGTGTGATTTAACCTCCTTGAGCAGTTCTCATCTGTAAAATGGAGATGATTAATCATAACTCAGAGTTCTTGAAAGGTGAAACAAGATGAAAAATACAGGCTGGTCTTACAGAGTAGGGAAGAGGGCCACAGGTGAGAGTTCCATCATTTTGGCTTCATCAGCCAGACTAGAAGTGCTAGCTACCTGGCTGACAGGCTCCAGGTTTGAGGCCTAGGAACTGGTGGCCTATAGTGCATGCAGGGTGGGTACTGGCTATTTATTTTTCTCAGGTGCTGGGTGGAGTGTTCTCTGTGGGGCCACAGGCTCTATGGAAGCCCAGCCAGTGAAAATGAGCTGCCCCAGCGCCCTGCATGTGGTGGGGTTCACCAGGACACCCTTGCCTGGCCAGGATTTTGCATGTTGTCCTTCTGAACTTTGCAAAGGAAAGAAAAGTTCCTTTGGGCTGTGCTTATCACCTTTGAACCTATTATCTTCAAAGTCATAAATGCGATCCACTAGGCTATAAAAGTGACTCATTTCAACACGCTTTCCCTGCAGCCGGCTCCTTGACATCTACCACACACCCACGGTAACCAGAGGCCACCGCCATGACAAAGGACCAAAATGGAACCTGGGAACTGGAGAGTAACGACAACTTTGAAGGCTACATGAAGGCCCTGGGTAAGGAGGAGGTTGAGGGTGAGCGAGGGAGAGCAGCTTCAGGAGGACTGGGGTCTGATCCTCTAGACAGTGCTGCCATGCAGTTCCACTGACCTGAAGGCAAGCCTCGCTCCTCCCTTACTAGCTCCCGATCAAGCCATATAAATTCTCTGAGGCTCAGATTCCTTGCCTGCAAATTGGGAATAATAATACATGAGATGATATCAGAATGTCCTTAGCATAGTACCTGACACACAGAAAAGATACACTGAGCGGAGGACACACATACACATCCACCTGCAGACACGCATGCATACATACACTAGTAAAGCCAAACAAGAGGATAATGCAGTAGCTCCCCTGCCTTGTGACAGCCATCTCTTAGATAACCAGTTGGGCCTGATATTATCCACAAATGACCCCTATCTTGCTCTTTTGTCAGTCTTGTAGTGGGGAAGCAGAAAAGTGGCTAACATCTCTCTCAGCCTAGAGGAAATCAAGCCTGCAGAAGGCTAGGAAAGGCTTTTGTCATATAGATTCAAAAAAGCACTGCTTCTCTGGCTTCTAAACTAAACTCCAGGCTAGGGGCTCAATCAGTGTGTCAACTGAGTTGACTCTCCGGTGAGATCTCTTGCGGGGCTGTCAGAAAACACTGGAAACCAGCAGAACTGGACCCACAGAGGGAAGCTCACTTCACTGGGCAGCTATCATGGGCCAGGCACGGAGCGAGGGGCTTTGGCTGCCCATCCTTATTTGAACCTGCAATAGCCTCCTGATCATCTCTTCCACCTTTAGCGGTCTCCGCATAGGGAATTCCTGGCTGGAACTTCCCCGTGCGAAATACGAGAAAAAAGCCTGCGTGCAGGTAGGAGGTCTGATAATTTGGATATGGTGATGGGAAGTCTCACTAAGAATGAATATCATGGATTTTTCTGTGCAATGAACTTTTAGTTTGATGAACATTTCCACCGCGTCGGTGAATAAGGAGGGCTGTGACATGTTTGGCAGTTTTTTGGTTTTGTTTTGCTCCTGGCTATCAATTTTACCTCAATATACATGGGACAACAGGAAGGAAGCAAAAATCCTCCTCCCAGTGCCCTCACCCTGGTGCACCTGTCTAGCTCCCTGAATGAGCCCTGCTGTGTTCTGCGGCCACAGGAAGTTGCTCCAACTTAAGTCCATGATGCTTCATGCAGAAATGCCTCAGCTGGAGTCGCCATCCTACCATGGAGACAAGTCACCTGACCCCTCTCACTTGCCCAGGGGGACACAAGTGGGGCAGGCCCTGGCAGTGACTGAAAACAGGTCTCAAGGGGCTCAGCTGGGATTCCAGTTCAATCTGCAGGTAAATAAATGGTCTGGTGCTATAGAACTATAATTCTGGACAAGATTGTACAGAGGAGGAAACCAAACCAGAGGGACCAATAGACCTGAGGCTTTCACTCTGACCTAGACCAATTTTTTAAACTTTCAGAACCAATTTCCTCATCTGCCAAATCAGGCAAATAGCACCAGCCTTGCCTATTTCTCCAGATGATGTTGGAAGTGGTTGTGGTTTGGTATGATTGAAAGCACTTGAACGAGGGCTGTTTGGGGTTTCAAGGTTTCAGCAGCATGCTGAACAAGGGGGACTCAGGTAATATTATCAGAAAGTAACTTTGTCGTTTGCAAATAATAAGCCCTGTAGTGACGTTAGATATAAAATCCAGTCTCAGTTTAGTTTTCAACTCTGCAGGGTGAGCCCTGAGGCCTCTTTCTCTAGGTTAAAGGTGAGAGGCACGCACTCCTATCAGCACCCTCTGTCCCCTCTGGGCGGGTTGGGGGATGCAGGGCACACTGGGAGCTCTCTCCAGAAAATCCTCTCTCTAAAAAGAGCCTTCCTCTTCCATACCAACTTACACCTTCAATGTCGTGAATGTGATGTTTGGATAGCTCTGTCATAGGTATCCATGGTATTGGATACCTTCAGTTAAACCTTCTGATTTAGCATCATACTACGATGATTCCACTCTAATGAGAATATCATTTCAGCTCTGGGTGTAGAGTGGGTAGCAGAATCCTTTCCTGATTGAAACCATAGGTGATAGTACTAGTTAAACCCAGAATGCGGAAATGCTTGGTGCCTCAGTTTACCTAGTTGCTGATAGCTCACAGTGTCGCGCGGCCCCGGGAAGTTGCTCCAGCTAAAGTCCATGATGCTCCATGCAGAAATGCCTCAGCTGGAGTCACCTTCCCACCATGGAAACAGGACACTGGATTCCTCTCACCTGCCCAGAGGGACACATTACTGGCAGTAACAAAATGGGTATCAAAGGGCTCAGCTGGAAGCAGCTAAGGTGGGGCCACCCTGTCAGTTCGACCTGCTGAAAGCAAACCAGCAGATCTGGATAGTTTCCTCCACACCCACTCCACGAGGCGGGGGTGGCTTTTCCAACACTGACAAGTCAGTGAAGCTTGCCTACCGTGCCTTTTTGAGCACGAGGCCCTGGGTGTTTGGGGAGAATATATGTGGACATCTCAGCAAATCCCAGATGTATAGATATTTGTAAGTATAACGTTACTTCCTGCCATAGAACCGTCACTTCCTTACCCCAGCACTAGAGAGTCGGCTTTCTCTGTGAGCCTGGTCACTGGTTCAGTAGAAAAGGAGAGACTCCAGGTGACTCATGTCACATACCAGCCTCCCCACATGACTCACTGCCAGCCACAGCAGAATGACATGTCATGGCCAGCTTTGGTTTTGCCCCAAATTATCAAAGATGTTAATTTTCAAAGAGTGAGTGCCAAGGGTCAATGCTACATCCTCTTCTGCCTTCACAAAATTTGGGTTCCTGCTGGTGCTCACAAGTCACCTTGCCAAAGACTTTACTTGAACCACATGGCACCGAATGTACTTTCTAACAGGTTAGTTAAGTGCTGGGATTGGGTGGGTGCGGGGCGGGGATGGAAAAAGCCCAGGTGAAGATAAGTTTTATTCCTTCCTTGCATGCACTGGCAGTACCTCCACCCTGATTCCAGTGGTAAATATTAGACTATGAGTGATGAGGGGGATTAGTGCAAGGGGAGCAGGGAGGCACCCCAGCGTCTCCAGCCTGCCTCTGCGGACCAGAGGAAAAATTTAAACCTATTTGGAGATGTCCATGAGGGAGCGAGAAGAGGAGGGAGGGAGGGGACCAGGCCCATTCCTGGCTAAATATGTTATCTGGAGGAAGAAATGACATGGAAAAATAGAGAAGATTGCTCTTCCACTCTGCTTTTCACAATTGCCTAAGAGTGCTGATAATTTGAGAATTAAGGAGTCCAGGTTTGAAGCCCATTGAAGCTGTACTTGGAACGGGTCTCGGATTTCATATGATGAATATGTGTGCATCTCTGCTCTTTAATTTACAAAGAGCACCTGCCCTTTTAGCCTGCAACTTTAGCTTTTTTCACAAGCACATTACAAAGCATTTGAATGTTGAATAGCATACTCATATTTCAACTTTATGGCTTGCATTGTTCAAAATGCAGTTATGAAAAGTATGCTTTTAATAAAGTCATTTCAGTGTTGTTTTTTTTCTTCTTCTGCAGCAGCTACAAGCCATATATATTATTCAAAAATAGCTTGCCTTTGAACCTTTTCCTCTGAGATAGAAATTCATTTTACCTGGCTATAAATCAGGCTCAAAGCTACCTTTAGTCCAGAAAAGCAGATAAAATATATTCGATAGCCCTGGTGTTAAAATACTATATCAAGAAAATAATTTTCTCTGCAAACTACAAAGAGGAAGTGTTTCTGCAATCTATATGTGTGTGTGTATGTGTATTTTACAGCTGAAGGTAAACTTTTTTTTTTTTTTTTTGACTAGAAATATCACGAATCTGCCAACAAAACATTTGGCTCCCTTCCCTCATGTGGAGCAGAGGCGATATGATTAACTAGCCTGTGTAAACGCTAAAGGGTGGCCAAGAGGCCACACCATTTTTCAATCCGGAGAAGTATGCTCGATTCCGTTTACATTGAGCCCCTAACACGATTCCTCCGGCACTGATCAGAAAGCTTGACTAGGGATGGTGTTTCCAGGACAAACCAGTTCCTTCAGCAATAGGCATTTTTAGCTGTGATCTACCTTTCTAAGCAACCAAGGACAAATAATAATTTTTGTTAGGGAAGCCTTAGTTGTGAATGATCAGTGGAAGGTATTTGTAGACAAATTTCCCGGAGCTCCAGCCTAGCTCTGAACTCACTACTTAATGTTTCTCGGCCTCGATTTCCACATCTGGGGAGAGAAAATAGACTTGCTCGCTGAGGAACACTTCAATTCTAAACTTCTAATTCCCTATTCTTCCTTCGTTGTTTCGCCTGCTGGAGACCCCTTCTTTGTTGTATCTGGGTAATACATGACCCGTGGTTTTCTTTCCCATCTTCTAACTGATTCCGGCAGCAGGGCATAGCGCAGCGTGCATGGACTTAGCACGGAGGGCCAGAGTGGGAGCTAAAGTCGGTTCTACCCACTGGCCAAACCGGGGAGTAAAGAAGCTAGGGAAATGCCTGTGAGACAGGCCAGGGCTATGTGAGGGAGGGAGTAGATCAGCCACCATTCTGACTGTTTCTTCAGAATCCAGGGCCCTTGGACAGCAGATGGCTGTGGCGACATATAAATGTGACCCAAATATTTCACTCCAGACTAAATGCCAATCTAGTCATGGGTTTTGATCTGAATAGAAAAGACCAAGGCATGGAGGGCAATGTGCATCAAAAACCCACAGGCTCTTTGGCACTGTGGAAAGCATTTTATCATCATTTTAAGTGAATTCTTACATTAAATGACTATAAAATGAGCCCTTTTCTCCCCGTTTTACTGTGAGAAAACTGAGGCTCAAAAAGGGAAAGTGACAATAACTGGGAAATCAGGGCCAGGAGTTAGACCTGGATCCGACCCTCACATTCATTCATTTGTACCAGTAATTTAAACTGTAGCGTACACAGAATCACTTGGAAGGCTTGTAAAAACAAGCAGGGCCCAATCCCCCATAGGTCTAGGGTGAGCCCCAGAGCTTACATTTCTAAGAGGTCCCAGGTACTGTCATGCTGCCAGCCCAGGGACCTCACTTTGAGAACTACTGTCCTAGAACATGTTCCCCCATTAACCAATCCATAAGTGTTTCTTGAGCATCTACTTTGTGCCCAGCCCTGGGCCGTGTTAGGTGGTGACACAGAGCAAGGCGACAGCAGTGTCCCTGTCCTCAAAGAGGTGAGACTTTGGAAGAAAGAATCAACCCCAAGAAAAAGTCAGAGGAAAATACCAGGCAGTAATCACTGCGTGGCCTTTTGACTAAGATCAAGTGAAAATACCAGGTCGTGTCCCCTGGGGCATACAATAGCATGCCCTGGATAGCAGGCGAGGAAGGAAGCAAGAAAAAGCAGAACAGGCTGGAGCAGGCGAAACTGGGGCTGGGCCTTATGAGATCTGGAGAGCTGGGAGCACAGAGGCAGGGATTCAGAAGCAAACATACAGGGAGTATCTGGAAAAATGCGAAGGACTCCAAGCAAACAGGCCTGTGAGCTCAGGGGACTTAGTAATGGTGATTACGATGATGCCCGCAGCTGCCATTTATGGCGCCATTACCACAAGCCACCAGCCACTAGGCAGAGCTCTTCAGACACACTATCAAACTTAATCCTCAAAATAACCTGAGGCAGTTCACAATAGCTCCACTTACAGACACTGCTCTCTGCTGCTTCTAGATCTGGACACATGTATCTAGCCATGTGACTGAAGTTAGACACATGTACATAAGCTGACATTTTTCTGAGAGGAGGAGAGAAACATGAGTTGGAGTGTGACATGTTAGCCCTCCGCCTACTGCAAGCACGCATTTATATTGACTAGAATAGGGAAGATATTCTTTAGTGGCTTTTAGCAATTTTAAGGAAGGATTCATCTAAGTCAGAAATCCTTGACCACTTGGTCTTGTCTAGCCTTCTCCCTTCCAAACAGTCCAGCAGTTGCCTCAAAGGGAGAAAAATTGAACAGACTTTTCCATAACTGAGGACCCAGGTGACTGAGATAAATGCCTCAGAAGGGGTTTGGTCAGTCCTTTTCATGTTATGTTCTGTGGATCATGCAGCCAGCTGGATTCCCTACCACAAAGCAGTTCTATAGCCACAAGAGGTTGGGAAAGGCTACATCTTGCATCCTCTAGTTGGAGTCACAAAGCATCTTTCCTAGATTAAAGGCTCCGTGACGTGCTTCAGTACAGAAACTAGCCTCTCTTGGTTTTAATTTCTCATTTTCCAACCTTCATTGATGACAGGATTTTTTTCTTTTTGATTGCCAAATATATGTATCTGAGCCCTATGGCAAACACAGTGGGGCACCGTGGTCTCTGTGACTGCTGGCTGAGATGCCTAGAAGTGTTCATAGCATAAAGGGTCACCTATGTGGCCTGCAGGCTGTGTGTCAGAGACATGCCCATGAGCTTCAGAGCTGAAGCTAATTGAGCTGTCAGAGAACATGTAGGGATTAGAGTGTGACTGCTTCAACTCAGACTCCTTAAAGAGCCCTGAGCCCAGAAAACCATTGCTGTCAGGTGGGGACAGTAGGCTTGAGGTTTGGGGCAGATAAACCATTTCAAACAGGGAGGTCTCTTCCAGCTGGATCCAGAAGTCCTTGTGGCTCCAGGGGAAACGTAAGGAAGAGTTAGAAGTTACTGGTATCTCAGGGAGCCATAGAAAGTGCACAAACTAAGAAGGTCTGACCTGAAGAGACAGGCCAGCCCAGAGCTTGTGGAGCACAGTGCTGGTCCTGGAGACAGATCGTCCTGGGTTCAAGTCCTACCTCCATTGCTTCCTCACTATCTAACCAAGGGCAAGTGACACAGCTTCTTTGAGCCAGTTTCCTTCTCGGTAAAATGGAGATAATATACTTATCTCATGGGTTTTTTGGGAGAATGAAGTGAGGGAGGTTTCTCCAGGGAGGTCCCACCATGGGGCACCATTCCTGATTGGTTCGAAGGCGTGTCTTCATCATCACCCCAAATAGGAGCAAGGGTCCACGCAGCATGGCCCCCTGACTCACATTACCTAAAACCCAGCTAGTATGTTCCCCCCTAAAACTAGTACGGTCTTGGACTTCCTTGACTCTCACCTCTCGCCTCGGTCACGCAAGCTCAAAACCAATGTTTCGTCCTCCCAATTTGATTCTTCTACACAGCCGTCCAATTACCAAACCGCTGTGGTTGCTGTTTCAGCTGGGTATGTTTAGACTAGTCGCTTAACCTCTCTAGGCCTCCATTTCACCGCCTATGACATGAGTAGATGCTTAGACAGTAGCTTTCAGATTTTTTAAACCATAGAAGTCTTTCTCCAAACAGGTCTCTATGAAGAAGTCCAAGGTCTGAAACTATCCAGAGATTTGGGGTCTGGGATAGGACCCAGCAGTCTGTAGTTTTTATATCTTCCCAGGTGATCCTGAGGAGCAGCCAGCTTTGGGACTCACTGGGGAATTCCTAGACGTGGAGGTTTCTCAACCAGTAGTGAGGAACAGTGGCTGAGCAAGGCACTAGCATTCATGTACCAGTTTGGGCCAACTCTAACATAATTTTGTTTCAACTTAGGATGCAAGTATGTAAATTTTTTTACCTCCTGGGCAGCTTGATGTTATTTAAAATTATTCTCTTATAATAAAAGCTGACTTTATACCATTTAGGGTCCAAGAGACCAGCCAGGGCCCTCATCCATGCAGACGTAATCCTGTCATTGTCCAAACAGCCAGCTCGGGCTTCTCCTTGGTTCTTTGGGAGAAGGAGAATCCTATTTATCAAAGAGGGATTCAGAAGAAAATGAGTCAGAAGGGAAATGGGGAGAGAGAGGGAGGGAGGTCATGCTTGGCTACTGCAGAAGGGCAGCAGAAGGGGTGGATGCCCAGCCAGCAGAGATGTTAATTCTCCAAACTGACACAAGCTCCCTGAACTGTTGGTAGCTGCTGGTCTCTCCTGTGGACACAATAGTATTTATCCCCCAGCAGACAGCACAGAGTGTGAGGTTTAATCACCTACCTGTCATAGAGATGGGGCTGGAACTCTCAGGAAAACAGCCCTCAACGAATCTGAACTGCCCTTACTCTTGGGGTTATTATTGCCCTTGGGATAAAATGGAATCAATCTCATTGCTTTTGAAATCTTCCAGGTGGACTTTCAAAAAAAAAATTAAAGATTCAGATTGGTATCCAAAGATATATGGAGAATTTACAGGCATAAAGGAAGTCAAATATGATTTGGCAAGAGACTAAGGGCTTAATGATGTTCATAGCAAAGGTAGAAATTTAGCAGTTCCAGAATTATCCTCTACTTCTAGATCTATTCCACAGGACAGCAACTTTTTGGCTTGGGTGACATTTTATGCATGACCAAAGGGTATGCAAGGATGTAGGCTCAGCACTTAGCTTCTTACTATAAAATGCAAAGATTAGGAAATGAAACACCCTGTCAAAGGGTATGCTCCCTTTTACTTACTCTGTAAGAGATAAACAAGATTTCCTTTAAAATATGAAGACATAGAAAAGCCGTAGATGGAATAAATGAGGCAAAATCTTGATAATTGTTGAATCTGGGTGATGGGTGTATGGAGTTCCTTGTACTCTCCTTTGGTTTGTTTGAAATTTTTCATAATAAAAATATAAACAATTATCCATCTTTTCCTTAAAAACAACAAAAGAAACTCTAAGCAAGTGTTTATTAAGTAACCAGAATATGCTTGAAACTGTACTGAGGGCCATGACTGAGGGAGAACATCCGAGCTAGGTAAGACCCCAACCTGCTTTAAAAATGGAAGTCTGTACGTATGCTTTCCTGCTGTGGACATTAACAAAATTCCCTCATTACCCATGATCTAGACTGGTTATTTTTAAACAATCCTTTTTCTTTTACCCATCAAGTCTCTTGTTTAGCAAACTCTTAAAAAAGAAATTCAATATGTCAGACAGAATGGAGCTGCTATGCTGGAGGGGTGTGGATTCATGGGTGTGCTGTGTGTATATATGTGTGCACAAGCACGAATTGGAGAGTTACAGCTCAAGAATGAGCCCCACTTGCTACACCCCCCTCCTATCATGGCTCCTGATGAGACATGCATTACCCCATGTTTCCTAACAATTGACTGAGATGCCCAAACTGGCCATGTTTAAGACAACTTCTGTTTTCCACTTAAGCAAAGAAAGGTAGCCTGCCCTAATCTGTGTCTCTGGTCTTGATTGCTTGGCCTTGTTTAAAAAAAAAATGAATTAGTCTAACTGAGCACATCAGAACCTCTTCAACTCACTTTGCCAACAGATATCGATTTTGCCACCCGCAAGATTGCAGTACGTCTAAATCAGACAAAGACCATTGATCAAAACGACGATCACTTCAAGACAAAAACCAACAGCACGTTCCGCAACTATAACTTGGATTTCACTGTTGGAGTGGAGTTTGAGGAGTACACCAAGGGCCTGGACAACCGGAACGTTAAGGTACTAACCTGGGCAGGTATTTTTTACTTATATACTCTGCAGGGAGTGGCCATTTGGCTTCGCTACGAAGAAAATGACAGAAACATCCTGGAAAGGGGGACCAGAATAGGCTTAATAATGCTAGCAATAAGTATTATTATTTTATGTAGGAAGAAGCAAGCTGGCTTCTGCACTAAGCCTATAAGCAAAAGAGAGATTAAAGGATGCTGGCCTTTCCAGGATCTGGGGTAGGAAGTCAACTCATATACTGACATGAACCTGGAAGGCGAGGAGAACAGGGCAAGGTAGACTATCATGGCAGAGGATGGTGACTCTGTGAGTTGGATGGCATAGCTTCATTAGTAGGGCAGCCCTGCTCAGCACCAGCCATGCATTACAATGAAGGACTGAGGCCTCATGTTCTTAGATTTTTTTTTCTTTTAAAGAGATATTGACAATTCATATGTTTTTATATGGAATATCTCAATTTTAGATGATCCCAACTGATTTATTTTTAGAAAAATGCAATGCAAAGCAAACAAAAAATTCAATATATAAAATGAAGTCAGGGTTTCTCCAGTTCTACTAACTTAGAGAAATCTCTGGTAAGTTTGTGACTTCTGCTTCAATATCACCTTCACTCACAGGACATAATAATAAAAAAGAAAATCTTCCATGCATCGGAAGACCAGACTTACAGCTGCTTGAATTGTGTGGGCTTAGGTAGAACCCTGAAAGTGAGCAGACTACTCTGAGTGCGTAAATGGGGAATTATTTCAAAGCCAAAGAACTAGAGTCTACAGAAGAGGCAAGCCGTCACCAAGAGGAGCAGTTTGTGAATAAGGCAGAGTGGTAGCAGCAGGGAGAAGTGGGGTGGTGATGGCGAAAGCAGGAGTAACAAGTCCCCTCTCCTCCAGGATCACCATGTGGTATTACTGCCTAGTGACCAATTATTGCAGTGTTCACACTCACACTCAGGGCACATGTCTTTGGTTTTCCAAATCCAATTACACCTGGTTGTCCCCACTAACAGGAATGGGGGGAAATCAAATCTCAGTCAAATTTAAGGATTTCCTCACCCCAATCTTAGCATCATACAAGAACCCCATGGAACACACTGTCCAGGAAAGGATTTCCGGTTTGTCATCTAGTATGGTTGCCATTGACCGCTCACTGTCCGTGCCCATGGAGTTTATACAAGGGTGGGCAGCGTGAATATTCTTAGCACCAACCTCCTGTGTGCCAATTCCGTCACCAGGACCTCTGCCCAGGCTCCCAGTGTGCCCATGCTCTCACTACCAGCAGAGGGCCAGTCTCTCAAAGTGCCAAAAAGATGCAGGGCCCTCCGCCCTGCCCTCCCCCATTCACCATGAGCCCTACTCTCCCCAGAGTTCTACTCTTCTCTAGTGCTTCCAGGAGCTCTGTCAAAGTCAGAGGTTTCGGCTCTCCCCTATAGCAAGGGACATGAGCTCTGGCTTCCTTCCTGGGCTTGGGAGGAAAAGTTGTCATCATTCTCTGGTACTGACTCTAAAGCCAAGAGAGCAGGACACATTTTATTTCTCAAGTTATCCTGCAGCATTGATAGTCTCAGCCAATCATGTCAAAGTTGAATTATATTTAGTGCTCCTTGCTGAAGAAAAGCAGAAAATGAGAAGCACCTTGGAAATGCTTCCATCGGAGCAATCTTGGCATGAGAGCCTAAGCTTCCGAGCCCTGGAATGGCCCCTTGTGAATCCCTCCCTGCGAGGTTGATGGATGGACAGGGCTTTTCTGAACTGTGTGGTTGGAAGGCTAATTCATCAGACAGCAGAACTGATAGGAAAATTTGATCAGAATTTTTGCATCACTCTGCTGTTCTAACCTAATCAGTTCAGAAAAGATTCATTTTCCCTGGTCTTTCCATTTGGGGTGTGGGCTACTGAAAAACAAGCCTCTTCTCTCTGACTTGTTCTTTTATCACCTTTGATAGTAGAGAACTCATTCTTCCTGAAATAAATCATATCCTTTCAGCCTTTCTGTCCCTTAAAGGATTCTGTCTGTTAACACCCACTCTTCTTCTGTCTCTCCACTTTCCACTCTTTTTTTCCTTGCCTGAAGAGAGAGAATCCTCTTTTCCACTTCTTGTCTCTGCTTTGCCCACAGGAACAAGTTGGGACTAACACACACACACACACACACACACTCACACTCACACTCACACTCACTCACTCACTCACTCACTAGTAGGGGCTGAGAAGTACCCAGGACAGAGTTTGCTCGGTCTCCAGCAAAGGGCTGAACACAAAGCAAGTGCCCTCAGGACTACCTACTTCCTATAACTTGACTGGAACCCTTCAGCTGGAAAGGAGTGACAGAGAATGGGTGGATCTATCTCTCTGATTAATTTCTGTTGCCCACATTTGATGGCACACCTGAATGTAGCCACGAGCCGTGTGTCTGTGTGCATGTGCGTGCATTCATGTGTGTGTGTCTGTGTAGTACTCACGCTCTTATTCTCCGGGCTCCACTTCTCTTTGGTTACCCTCCTGAGTCCCTCTAAAAATCTCCCATTCATCAGGGAGATTTGGGAGGTGAGGTATGTTTGGAGCGGGGAGATTGCAGCAGAGGCTCAATAGGGCCCTAAAATGCCGAGTTCTTTGCCATCCTGGAGCAGCAGCAATAAACCACATTGATCACGGGGTCAACTCTTCTCTGAGGGGCTCAGGGACCCCTTCTTCCTTCCTGCAGGCCATATCTTCCTCACTGCCTACCCTGATTAGTTTTTAAGAGAATTTGAAGCTCTTTTCAAAAATTTACAAGTTACCTCAAATAATATTATATTTAAAAGAAGTAATTGATATTCAAGCAATGGAATATTATGCAGACATAAAAAGGAATGAAGTACTGATCCGTATTACAACATGGATGAACTCGGAAAACATCATGCTAGGTGAGAGAAGTCAGACACAAAAGGTCATCTACTATCTGACTTAAATGAAATGTCCAGAATAGGCAAATCCATAGACAGAAATATCCAGAATAGGCAAATCTATAGACAGAAATTTGTTGCCAGGGAGTGACTGCTAATAGGTGCAGGGTTTGGGGGGGAAGCAATGAAAATATTTTGTATTTAGATAGTGGTGATGGTTTTACAACCTTGTGAATATATTTAAAAATGGTTAAATTGTATACTGTAGAAGGATGAATTTTATTGTATGTGAATTATTTCTCAATTTTAAGCAATTGGGGCAGACAGGGCAAGGAACAGCAGGTAAAGACAATGGCAGTTAAACCCACTAATGTTGTCATGATGTCCCTAGAGAGCCCAGGAGAAAGCTTCCTCCAGGAGGCTCCCACCTCAGGGTTTGCCTGAAAGGTAGGTAGATGCTGAAGAAATAACTCTTACATGGGGGCGGATATGCTGGGAAGAGTTTAAATGTGTTAATAGTGTCTCTTAATGTAAAGAGCTATTTTCCTTGTTTCAAAAACTTAGTTGGGAGTGATTCAAATCTACAGAAAAATTTCAAGAACATAACGAAGAACACCTATACACTCTTTACCAAGAGTTACCTATTGTTACCATCTTGCTCCATTTGCTTTATCTTTTGTATATGCTGTCTCTCTCCATCCCTCCTTCCCTTCCTCCCTCCCTCCCTCCATACCCTCTCCCTCTCCCTCTCTCTCTCTGATATACATTTTTTTTCTGAACCATCTGCCATGCTGCTCCTAAACAATTCAGTATGCATTCCCTAAGAATATCCTCATATAACCACAGTATAGTTATCAACTTCTATAAATTTAGATACAGTACTTGTATCTAATTTACCATAAAGGGTTGTTTTAAATGACCTTAACTTTGGACATTGTGATAGGGGAAATCTCAGTGTAGGCCCATTCCAGTGTCCATATAGATGGATATGTGTGCACTCCAGTTGTTCCATAGAAACCAAGGCAAGGAGGTGGGGTGGTTGAGTTGTCAAGAACTATCATCAAAAAAGAATACACGCGCTCATTTATTCCCCTATGTGGGTTTACCTCGAGACTCAGTTTTAACAAAGTCTACCACGGATATACTCAACAAGGCTTACCAAGCACCTCCTATGCGCTGCTGACTGTGCCAAGTCTGGGGTTGAAGAAATGCACAGCTGACATGGCCTCTTTGTTTATGGAGCTTATTGTCTAATGCAGGGAGACAGACGCTAATTCAATTAACATGTATTAGGTGTCCATTAGACAGACGCTAATTCAATTAACATGTATTAGGTAAGACAATATGAATGGAAGGGATTAGAAGACACAGTCTTTGCCCAAATAGGAGACATGAGTCCTTTCCCATCTATTTGGGAGGAGACTGAGTCCAAGACTGATGATGGACAACAACATATGAATATTAATTTCTCATCTATCTGGGAGGGAACTCTGGAATATTCCAGCCAACATCTCCCTTCCAGAAGAGCTAGGAGAGCATCCTGTGAATTAAGCTTCTCTAAGACATTTGAAGATGTGAAGCTTTGGATAACCCTGAGAAAGAAGAGACATATTTCCCTTAGAAAACATGTAGAATTTTGTAGTTAAATTAACTTGGGGAATATTAATACATGCCGATGGTTAGAATTTAAACAGTAAAAAACAAAATTCTTTTCCTATCCTGGCCCCAGCCTCTCAGTTTTCTCTCCAGGGAAAATCACTGTTAAGGGTTCTTTGACATCCTGGCAGAGAGCCTGTACAAACACATGCATGCATACACATTCCCCTCTTGTTTTATGCACATGGCCCCGCTCCTAGCTTTTTAAAAAACTTTATGCACTATGGTGACTGCTCTTCTCTGTAAGTATAGAACTGCCTCCTTTAAGGGCTGCATAGCAGGGATGAACCACATCATATTTAACCAGATGCTCCCTGACAAAATTTATGAGGCTTCTAGTCCTTTGCTGTAACAAATAATGCAGTGATGTGTTGAGGAGTGAAATAAAGAGAAATAAAATTGTACATAAAATATAGAATATGATCAAGGTCAAATGTTATTTTCAAAATAGATACACTTAACAATCTGTAAAAAACAGATTTGTACAAAAAACAAAACAAAACAAAAAAAAACCTGAATGTGTAAGGACAGTGAATTAAAAAACACCTCAGTTTATCACCAACTGGGTTTACAAAATATAGAGAAAAGTAAATATCTGCTCCTTAGCTAATATTGTTCATAGAGGCATAATATGGTTTGCACACACTTGAAAGAAAATCACCTAGCATGAGGGTCGTCCCTGAGGAAGGACTGCCTAAATGGGAACGACGTCATCATCTCGGGGGGTACATACACAAGATCGTCCCATGCAGGTGCTGGGAGAGGTAAAGGGAGGACAAGAGGAGTTTGGGGGTGTGTAATTTGTAAATACGTGCACGGGGGTTCCTGCCTCTTGAGATTCAGTAGGTTTGTGTCTTCTCCAACCTGCTGGTCATCTAGCATGAGTTCTGCATCTCTGCTGCCACCTCTGTGATTCTAACCAGTAGGCATTGCTGCCTGGAGGAAACCCAGGAGCAGGTCTACCCTCCTGGTTCTAGATGACAAGGCTGGCACTGGAGCCATCCGTGTGGCCCCTGTGAGTTAGGGCACGTCTATGACTTTATTATTGCCCTACAGTGGGCAGTCCTAACAAGATGATTCCTGTAGGAAAAATTCCCAGAAATACAATTCCTAGATCAAAGAGTATACACCATGTTATATTTTGAAAGGTAACATAAAATTGCCCCACAATAAGATTAATACTAATCAATATATCCACCAGCCATGTAGGAGAGTGCCTGCTTCTCTGCAGTGTGTTACCACTCTTTGATCTTTGACCATATGATGAATTATATCTAAAAAACAAACAACCTTCATTTGCCTTTCTCTTATTATGAGTGAGGTTGAGTATCTTATGTTTAAAAGCCATCTGCTAGGGTTGTGTGTCTGTGTGTTTTCCCTTATAAGCTATTGGCTCACATCCTTGTTGAATTTCCTTTTAGGTTAATGATCTTTTCCTTAATGATTTATAGGAGCCCTTTATATATAAGAGAATCAGGCCTTTGTCTGATATATATTACAGTTATTTTTCTCGGTTGTTATTCATCTGTTGACTTTTAGGTATTTTTCCCTTCTAGAAATTTTATATTGTTATGTAGTCAAATTCATTATCTTTTCCTCCTCTGATTTGAAATGCTATCTGTACCATACGATAAAATAGAGGAGTAGAACGCTTTAAAAGACAATAGAGCAGCCTCAATAAGCTGGTTTGGCTGGAATGGAGGGTGCATGTGGAAAATGAGACCGGAAGGATCGTGGCTTGGCTGAGGCTGAGGGCTCTGCCCATTGAGCAAGTGGGGGGCCAGGAATGGCTGCAGGAACTACTGCAGTGGGTTTAGGCTTGTCCAGTTCCAATCAAGACCACATCTCATATGTCTGTGAACCTGTCATTGCAGTCGCTGGTCACCTGGGAAGGTGATGTCCTCGTGTGTGTGCAGAAGGGGGAGAAGGAGAACCGTGGCTGGAGGCAGTGGGTTGAGGATGACAAGCTATACCTGGTAAGTCCCAGGGTCTGTCCAGCTTCCTTCCACTGTGCTCATACAAACTGCCCATTCACCTTGCCAGGGGCTTTGACAAGTAAGATGGCCCTGCACTCCTCCCCTGAGCTCAAGCCAAATGCATGTGGTCATATAGTCAAAAAACCATTCACATCTGGCTCAGGAGACTTCAGGCAGAAATCTGTATGGCTGTTTCTGTGGATGGCTCCAATTAAAATGAAAGTTCAAAATGCTGAGTTAGGGAACCAAGATCTAAGGAGAAATGCAGGGAACCTGTAAAAGACCAGCTGGGGAGAAATGTGAGGCACAGAATTAAGATGGCCCAGAGGAGGGTGGGGCCAGGCCTCCTCACAGTTATGTAGGCCTAGGAAAAAAGGAGTTGGGGTATGGGCCGGATGAACAGGGGTGAGCTGGGCCTGGGAACTGCCTGTAGACCACGGGCATTGGCCTCTCATCATAAGCTGTGTCCACCTGATCCCAACACATTTTAGGTTATTTAGAACAGAGCAGTAAGAACAATTGCTGATCTCCTTAAATAAATTATATCTGTCTAGACAGTTTAACTTTTCATTCTTCAATCTTCAAGGCAATTTATGGGTCCAGCATTGAAATAATGAAAAATCTTTCACTCCTTCATGTGTTCAGTCACTCATTTGTTAAATGAATGGCTCCTTCAATGAATGGCTTTTGATTCATTCATTCACTCACCTATGGAGTCAGCCAGATACCCGGCTCCAATGTCAGTATTCAGGTCACCATGGTGCCCTTCAGAGCCATGCTTTTCTCCTCTGAGATCTTTATGTCGCAGGTAATGTCAACTGGTGACATACGGGAGGCACTCACTGTGTTTCCATTGACGATTTTTCTTACCTGCTCTGGTTCGAATTACGTGTTTGTTTGTTTGTTTGTTTGTTTAATTATAGTACAATCCCCAGTGGCCCCTGTGACTAAGACAACGGGTTCGTCATCAACCGCAATGATATCATGGTTGTCGCCACACTCATAATTTTCTCTCCACCCTCAAAGGGTCATGAGGTGCCGACAAAGCCTAGGGACAGCATCTGGTTGGCACAGGCAGACCTGGGGGAGCCCTTCTGCCACCCACACCCTGTTGTCGCCGGTGCCACCACCAACCAAGGCGCTAATCACCAGAGTCCAGAAAGCCCACAAAGCGGAGGGACAGCTTATCAGCCCTTACCTTCCAAATACTTCTCCCTATGAGATCTTTCTCTTCTTCATGACTTCACTGCCTTTTATAAATTAGGCGATGTTACTTTAATCACGAAAGTAGGAGAAATCCTGCCCAGGAGGGTAATTTCCTTGCATTTTTCATTTTTATAGTTGTTCAAGCGCAATACAAGTGTCAAAATCAAATTACCGCTACCTGCAGGGCATGCCAGCTGATTGGATCTGTGAGATACACTTTCCCAAAATGACTAAGCATCCTCTCTTATTCCAGCTTCCCCCACCCCAAGAGGGCCAGGGGCTGGGCAGAAGGAAGGCCTGTCATCCCTCACTCACTTTCCGATGTTGCAGGAGCTGACGTGCAGCGACCAGGTGTGCCGTCAAGTGTTCAAAAAGAAGTGATGGCTGCGAGGGGACCTGCCGAGCATGTGCTCCACACTCTCAGTGAGGAGTTCTTTACTGGCTTTGGGAAGCAGCCATGGGGACCCTCCTACTCCCATTAAGACATCTGGATGGGTTTTAAACAGAGTGTGTAACGGTGACAGACATATTCTTCCTTCTTTGAAACCTGGTATTAAATGAAAACACAAAAATCCCTCCTATACTTTGAAACCCTTTATAGCTCTCTCCCTTTATTTCTAAAACTATCAGTTTTCTCTATAAACAGAATTGGTAATTGCCTACAGGGTGGTTTTCTGGGTGGCTTTTGTTGTCGTTTATTTTTTAGTTTAGTTTAGCTTGGTTTGTTTGTTTTTATTAGTTTGTTTTGGGGGAGAGGGTTATTTTTACCTGGAAACATTCTCTAGCCAACACAGCATTCCCTACAAATTCTCGAATATTGCCCATTTGAGACTCATTCCTTTGGATAACACATTCATTTCTCCAAGATTCTGTTTTAAGATGCAAATGCCTTCCAGTTTGTACTTCATCTGAGCGGCATGGACAGAGATACTTCTCAAGGCCTCTGCAGGTCTGCAGTACCAGTTGCTCTTGGTCCAGCCCTCTGCCCTCAGCCCTGGGCAGACTGGTATCCTTGTGGTGGGGTTACCAAGAACCACCAGACGGCCTGAGTTCAGGTCCTGCCTCTCTACTTCTTAGCTGGTTGACCATAGGCACATCACTTGGCCTCTCTATCCTTGTTTTTCTCTTCTATAAAGTGGAGAAGACAAAATAGCATCTCTTCCACTTGTCATTATGAGGATTAAGCAAGTTAATACATACAAAGTGCTTGGAATGGGACCTGGTACACGGTAAGGGCTCAGTTCCTGCTAGCTCTGGTCATTATGTGGAGTTACTCCCCCACAGTTCCAGGGGTCCAGACAAGTGAATGATGAGTAGCAATAGGTCAGTACCTGTAAGGCCTCCTGGTTCTTCTGAAACATTAGGTTCATAACTCTGAGCAGCATGTATTTTCTTGCTGGATACACAAATACAATAATGCACCTGGAAAAGCAGAGTAGTTAATAGGATGGGTTTATGATGGATCACTCGTGGGGTCCTGGAAAGACACTACAAGTCAAAGCCATCTCTTTCATCCTTTGGCAGCAGGGCCTAGAATCCTACCATTAGGCAAACATTGCCCTTGAAAAGTAGACTACCAGGAGGGGTAGTACGTGGTATTAGCGCACTCTGGTGTGATTTGAATAATCAGATCATTTATTGATCCTGAGAATTCTAAATTGGATCAGGGGTGGAAAGGAAAGATGTAATCTGGTCATGTGGCCTGGGACCAGCCTTGGCCCAAGCACTTGTGCACAGGGAGCCATGATGTGGGTCTCCTGGCAAGCTGTGCTCCCCGACAACCATGTTCCTGAGGAAAGAAAGCCAGGAAAGTGCCTGGCTGGGGCCATGTGCTGGCTAGGGACCTGGGGAAGGTGTGTGTGTGTCGGGGGGAGGGGGTCTTCCCATGGGCTCTGGGGAAGAGGGAAGCCTCCTAAGGAGATGTAGGCACGTCTCCTGGGGTAGACCAGGGAGCAAGTGGAGGGACTGGTGAAGTAGGACCTTTGTCTCCAGTTTTCCTGGAGCTTCTCCAGGAACCTCATGTCCCCCTATCAATGCTCCCCTGGTCTTGCCGTTGCCAACCACAATTCCAAATAACCCTCTTCTTTGTCCCTTGAGAAAACCCTGTTGAAGGAGATCATGTCTGAATGCCCTCTGGGGACTAGCTATGAGTATTCTGCACATGTAGGGGTGATATTTTCTAGTAATTTTTGATCCTAGGTTTCATAAAATGTACCCTAGGGGCTATTAGCTCCTCAATATTCTGTGAAAAGGTTCATAGTCAAATGTACTTGGGAAATGCTGAGAACTATATCCCTTTCTCAGAAATTCACAGTGAGAATTAGTGTCTTCATGGCTCTGAAAAGCCCTGCAGCAAAGCCCAGCCTTAAACCTGAATCCTCCTTTACCCAGAAGCATTTCATGTCTGCAGGGTGTTTGGGGAACACTACTTGTTCCTTACATGTACTTAGCACTTTTCCAATTACAGAGGACAAACAGTATGATCAAAAACTCCAATTTTCCACATGGAATTTCCACAAATGAAGAGGAACTGAATGAATTCATTTACATATAGTATAAAAGACGATTAGTGGCTATATGCATTCTATTGATCATTCTTTTTCAACGAAGATGCATCTGAACATAGAAGAGGTCAAATCTGAGGTGCCCATTTTAAAGCCAGGGCAAATATTTTGGGCCAGTCCTGCACTCACTGTGGCTGATAAGGCAAGTCGCCTGCCTCCCATTTTTGTTCCCTCGGCCGATTTCAAAACCAAACTATGACAGGAATGCTTCACCCCAGCACTGACAAGGCTGTTTGGAAACAGAGTGAAAGGGGTCAACTTTTAAAACCCATCTGAGGCTTTAAACTTTTAAAATCTGAGGCTTATACTGAAGAGGGGTGGAGCTGGTGGGTAAAACTCTCAGACCCTCAGAATCCCAGTCTCCAGGGCCTATCATGAGAGAGGGTGAGATTAGCTGTAAACCAGGGCTTGATCTTGAAAATTAAAGAAAATCTGTCGCATGAAAGTCCCAGCTCACAAATGGGCAGCATTGCAGAGTGGCTTGAGCATGGACTTTGGAGTCAGCCTTTAGTTCAAATCCCACCCCCACACTCTCCAGCTGTTTGACAGTGTGCGGTTTATTTCCACTCTCTGAGCTGCCACTTCACCATCTGGAAAATGAGGAATAGAGAACCTGCTTCATAGTGGGTAACGAAGACTGAATAAGATCTTAACACAGTGACCAAATAACAGTGGCTACCATGTGTGTGTGTGTGTGTGTATTTATGACAAGAATCATTTCTTCCCAGATAGATACTTTTATGTTGTATGTGTGGTGTGTTCATGTATATATGTACACACACATACATATGTAACATGTGCACATACGTATACAGCAGGTCCTCAGATAGTGTTGATGAGAAAAAATATCAGTTTCCAGCTGGGGTCACTGTCTGTGTGGAGTTTGCACATTCTCCCACGTTGGGTATTCTTGGGGTACAACAGTTTCCTCTCACGTCCCAAAGATGTGCACATGAGGTGAAGTGGCATGTCTACATTGTCCCCGTCTGTGTGTGGGTGGGTGTGGGTGTGAGCGTGCCCTGCCATGGGAGGGTGTCCTGTCCAGGATAGCCTGCACTCACCTGAGTCCCTGAACTAGAATAAGAAGGTTGGAAAATAACCTTACTTGCTTTTATTAATCTCTCTAGAATGTATGTATAGCTCACATTTATTTCAATGTTTAATATTAGAAGTGTTTTGAGTCTCTGTTTAGAAGTTCGGCAATGTTTTTATGACCAGAAATATGCCACAGGAACTTCCGTTTTCAACAATTAGCCTAGGATGAAATAGATTTCCATAGATGTCATTTCACTTAAAGTCGCAGACTCCAAGAACCCATGGATGACGTGAAGTGAGGACCTGCTTATATACACATCCTCCACCCCAATCCCACATATTTACACATACATACATGATGAGGCAGTGATTCCCTTCACTCAAACTCTCTGCTCTCTAAAATTTGAAGACCACCAAGAGGGCTTATTAAAAACACAGATTCTTACTCCCTCTCACTTCAAGATTCTGGCTCCGAGATCATGGGTGGTGTCCAGGAATCCATGTTGTCACAAGCTCCCCAAGTGACTGGCTGGCAGGAGCCCAGCAAGCACACTGACAACCCCTACATCGTTCAGTGAAAGCATGATTCATTTTAAACACGCATTCACCCACATGCACACATGCACTCAAGCAAAAACCCCACCCATCTCCACAGGTGACCAAATGTCACATGAACCACCCACAAATCTTTCTGATGCTATATCAGGGCCCCTGCGTGTGTGTGCCCTGTAAGTAAATGATGTCACCCTCTCCGGAGGAGCTTCATGATGGGAAGCGTTCAGTCCCTGGAGGATGGCGGTGGGAGACAGTGGAGAAGGCACGAGGCAGAAAAAGGCAAAGAGGGTTGGGGAAAGGTGGGAGTGCGGTGCCCTCCCACGATGGAAGAGGGGAGGCCAGCCTCTGGGAAGGCACCTATCTCAGACCAGCGTAGGTTATGAATACTTTGCTGGGCCTCAGCCAGAGGTTCATGGGAGCCAGTGAAGGCTTCTGAGCATAGAGTGATGTCATCCAACACATGGACCAGGAAAAATGCTCCAGCCATTGTTGGCAGGACAGGTGAAGGTGGGGAGAGGAGCTCAGGTCCACCTGTTCAGAGGCTGTTGTAGTAACTGTTCAGGGGAGAAGCAGTGAGAGACCCATGTGGGGGCCGGGGAGTGGCCGCGGGAAGGAAGGGAAAACCAGGAGCAGTGTTTGAAGGAGCCCTGTGCTAGGCAATGGTTGCATGAAGCTCACAGAGGCGGTGGGCAAAGAAGAAGGTTGTGAGCTTGGAGAAGAGAGAGAAGGATGATCCTCAACATGGCTTAGCACTGGAAGGGGATAGGGGGATTCCGGAGGGAAGACGTGGGTTTGGGTTAGGCCTATTGCACATGAGGTGACAGAGCAATGATTGCAAAGGCCAGCATATGCCCTCTCACCTTCGCTCACTGCCCCCCTCCAATGGCTAAATGTTACCCCCTTTCTGTTACCTCCCCTGGCTGAGGAGGGAGAGCAGCCTGAGCAGGGGCTGGAGCTGGGCCAGGAAGGGGATGCCAAGCTGCCACAGACCTTGCAGAGTCCACGAAGTGATGATGTCACCAGGGGTGAAAGGGGTGGAGAGGGAAAGGAGAAGAGACAAGAGGAGGAGAAAGGAGGGGAAAGGAGGGGAGGAGAAGAAAAGGGCAGAATAGGAGGGAAGAATGGAAGCG